AATAATTGTAGGGCCCACACAAGGATCAACTTAATTGAAGAGTTTTTGTACTGGTATTGCATTGCCGCTCTAATAGCAAGAGCAATCAATTGAATGATTTTTTCAGTTGAACCAATGAAACAAGCACAATATTATCATTTTATTCAATATTTAACAAATAAAATTTTGTTTAACTTAGTATTTTTTTCAAAACATCACTACATATGAAAAAAGTTGTAAATAAAGTGGATCCTTGTGTGAGCCCTATAATTATTTATTTTACCAAAAACTAACACAATGGTAATTGACACATTTAGAAAACATTGAATAAGTAAAACCAGAACAACGGCAATGCCAAAGCGTAGCGAATCCCATCGAACAGCCATTTTTTTTAAACAATAGGTTTATTTCATTGATATATTTTTCATGGCATAATACACAATCATGCTGCAAATCGCCTTCTGGCATTTTATGTCCGAACAGCCATGGCTGGCATATTTACAAACAAAGTATAAAGCAAAAATGGCAGCCATTTTTCAAAATGGCCACCTTCTACCATTAGACAGTGTCATTAGACAGTGTGCCATGCTTATAGTATTCACATACCAAATATGAACAAAATCACTCCACTACTTTTTGAGTTATAGTGAAATATGTTAAAATGGTGGCTATTTTTCAAAATGGCTGCCTTCTACCAAAAGTGTCATTAGACAGTGTGCCATGCTTATAGTATTCACATACCAAATATGAACAAAATCGCTCCACTACTTTTAGAGTTATAGTAAAATACGTTAAAATGGTGACCATTTTGAAAAATGGCCGCCTTCTACCAAAAGTGTCATTAGACAGTGTGCCATGCTTAATATATGTACATACCAAATATAAACAAAATCGTGGCCGCCTTCTACCAATAGTGTCATTAGACAGTGTGCCATGCTTATAGTATTCACATACCAAATATGAACAAAATCGCTCCACTACTTTTCAAGTTATAGTAAAATGCATTAAAATGGCAGCCATTTTTCAAAATGGCCGCCTTCTACTAAAATTGTCATTAGACAGTGTCCCATGCTTATAGTATTCACATACCAAATATGAACAAAATCGGTCCACTACTTTTCGAATTTTAGTAATACACGTTCAAAATGGCCGCCTTCTACCAAAAGTGATATTAGACAGTGTGCCATGCTTATAGTATTCACATACCAAATATGAACAAAATCGCTCCACTACTTTTCGAGTTACAGCAAAAATCGTAAAATAATGAGTAAAGGCCGCCATTTTTCAAGATGGCTGCCATGTGCTTCTTTAATATCTACATTTCTAGCTTTATTAATGTCCTATATAATTTTTTTACATTTAAACATATTCCTATAACAGTTTTACATATTGCACATATATTACTGTAAAATCGGCACTAAAATGGCCGCCATTTTTAAATGAGCGGCCATTTTTAAAATCGGCTTTCGAGCAGAACTTCTACCCCCATTGGGTATATGTGTACAAAATATGAACAAAATCAGGCTAACGGTATTTGAGTTATTGCCCGGACGGACGGACTGACAGACAGACAGACGGACGGACGGACGGACGGGCGGACAGACGGACGGACGGACGGACGGACGGACGGAGGCGTTCCCTATATCCCTCCAGCCTTCGTTCGATGGGATAATAAGAATATTATCATTAGCAACGATGACTTTTGAATTAAAATGGCATTTCAAGGTCAGCAATCTATAATTCTTCACCACTATTGTTTTTAATAAAAAGACCACACCCAAATGGACTATCATATATATCAATATCAAATTTGCCTCCTATTTCATATCCTCGCTGCTATTATTTGAAAAAAAAGATTTTTTCAAAAAAGATTTTTTCAAACTCATCTTTTTGACGGTTGTACCTAGGGGCAAGCCGTTTAGCCCTTTCGTGTCACCTTTTTGACTGCAGACAAGTGAAAACGAACAGTCAATGAACCAAACTATAATGCCTTTGGGCCGCTTCTTAGTAATCTACCTCAACATCGGTTTAGACTAACTAAGCCACCGATTTGGCGCATACTTAGTATGCTCCAAATCGCCTCCAAAGTGCCCTTAGGAAAAATGTTATGGGTACCCATATGTTTCACATAACTACCCATATTGTTACCCATAGCCCCCGAGTACCCATAACTTAAGGGTAATTGATGCCGTATCCAACTTAAGTTTTTTGGTTATGACTTATAATGGATAATAATGGGTAAATAATGGTTTTACATTATGCCATTATGTATTGGTAATGTGTATTGGATTACTATGGGAAATTCCTCAAAGAGAAAATTCTTGGGATTAAGGAAGGGGTACCATTTACACAATTCGAGAAATTATTGGCATACATGAATGGCATACATGAAACCTATTTAAAACAGCATTAATATTATTCGAAAGCGATCGTAATAATGATTCTCAGCCCTCTGAAGTAACAATACCTGAAGCCTTATTCATAAAGCCAACGTAAATATTTCCATTTACATCCACATTACTCAGTTGTACATTGGACGTAAAAACATCTCTCCGTCATATTCATAAACACATGAGGAAATTGAAGATCTACTTTAATGTTTCCGCAAGGACCTATGCAATGAAAATAATATACTATATACTCCCATATTATGTCTAGATTCTGTGACCACGTGCATGTACGTATTTGAATATGATTGTACCATCCACATACATGTAATCTGACGCATTTCTCATTGTCATGGTTGTGTCTTGATGTTTTTATTACTCCTTTATAAAAGCTTACTGTATTCTATTCGAGTTCATTTTCACCAGATTCCCCACCAAAATCATGTCTGAGAATAGACAAGTAAACTTTCCATCTTTGGAAAATGAAAACTGAACTTAAACAAGATGTATATGCCTGCTATAGTCGTTGGTTGACTGACCCCGACAATATCCCCTGTCACATGTTGAAAGGTACCCGTGGAAAAAAACTACTATTGTTTTTGGCGATACCTTAATTAATGGTGTGAACACTACGATGTACATGTAATTCGCTGTACCAACTCCAAAAATACCTCGGTAATCTTAACCTCGTAAGAAGCTCCCTATCATCAAAGATCTCGAGGGGATTGCAACGATCCCTAAACAATCGCCCTCGTCTTAGTACTAAATTGGATACCAAGCGTATGAATAAACCGTGTTTTTTAGCCTGGACGTAAAGTTACACGGTGAAGATACTTGACGTAAATATTTTGTAAGATCCTCAGGTCTTTACATTCGTCGTAAACATACGTTTGCTTTATGAATACCAAAATAAGTTTCCGCGATATGATACATTGACGTAAGTCATAAGTTGGCTTTATGAATAAGGCTTCTGGGTGTCAATCCATAAACACTCCTTGAAAATGAGAAATATTTTTTAGGATTATATGATGCAATCTTATAGTAAATAAAATGTTTTAAAGTGTATTGATTTTTTTTAGATGAAAAACACAAGTGAAATACATGAAAAAGCTCCCCAGATTCATTCTAAAAACAACTCGCGGTTCTTCATGATCATTTCACACATGCGCCTTATAAGAGTGCAGAAATTTATATTTATAATAGAATTAATTGGGAAAACCCAATAACAGTCGGAGAAATCTGCCTTTCAACAATTAGACCATTCTGGGATCTAAGATTTTCAGTACAGATAAAGTATTTTGAGAAGTGATTTTAAGAATGGGATGTAGTCTGCTATAGCATGTATAGAATAAGTTTGTTGAAATTTATTGATGAATAAACAACTATGCAAACTGTAGATACAACTAGGCAAGTCTCTAGTTCGAGAGACAATCGTATCAACTTGAACAAAAGTTAAGTTTTAAAGAAAAATTCTAACATGCGCAGAAGACCCATTTTCCTAATACCATATTGACTGTATAAAGTTTGATTCAAATCTGTTCACTGGTATTTGAGTTATCAAAGATTATATTTACTTTTACGAAAAATGGCAGCTATTTTTTTTTAATTTGGTAGCCTTGTCCAAAATGTCTTCTTAAGTGGAACTCCCTTGTCTCTAGGCATCATCATATAAAATTTGAACCAAATCCATCCACTGATTTTTGAGCTATCAAATGTTAGTTCTGTTACAAAGAATGGCGGCCATTTTGAAATTCAGCCGTCATCTTGGAAATTCCTTATCGACCAGAATTCCTGTGTCCCTAAGTATCAGCATATACATATAATTTGAGCCAAATCCATCCACTGGTCCTTGGGTTATCAAAAATTATATCCTTTACGAAAAATGGCCTCCATTTTGAAATTCAGTCGCCATCTTGAAAATCTCTTCTTCAGCATAGCTTTGTTCTTAGGCATCAGCATATAAAATTTGAACTAAATCCGTGAACTAGTATTTGAGTAATCAAAGATTAATGTTTTTACAAAAAATGGCAGTCATTTTGAAATGAGCTGCCATATTGAAAATTACTTCTTGAGCAGAGGTCCTACACCCATAAAGCATAAACCTATAAAATTTGAATCAAATCTGTCAACTGGTATTTGAGTTATCGCCCAAACACATGAACGGCCAGATGGAATGATGAATGAACAGCTTTCCTATATCCCCCTCGAACCTCGAACTTCGTTCGGTGGGATAATAATACCTGTATATTGAAATCTATACAATTTATAAAATACAAATATTTGTTATTGAAAGTTATATTCTTATTACATGTCATATCAACATTTATCTAATTTCTGCAATATAAAGGAACTTGGGTCAAATTTCTATCTAGGTCAAAATTTAGGTCAAATCTATTATCATGACTTTAAGTCAAGAGTTCAAAAAATTACAAATAATTGTAAAAGAATTTTTTTTTCTCATTTTGCCATCAAGGTAGGAGGTCGAATGCTATTTTTTTTAGAGAAAACTCAGGAAAATCTGAAGTCTTCAATAGAAATTTGAATTTCATTCTTAATATGAATGATGATAAATAAATGTACTAGAATAAATAGTCAATACATGTATTATTATGAAATATGGAACTTCCTTGTTACCTTGTTGGTTGAAAGGGAGAGTCACAGATGTAGTAACCACGGCGCTGCAGCTGTATTATGTCACCTTTCTTTAATGATACCAGGCAAGGATCACCCAACATTGTATACTCAACCTGCAGGCAAATTAACACTACTAATAGGGTTGTTTCAAACTCACCGACTCCGACACCCGACACTCGATATAGACAAAAAACTACTGTAAATCATCATAGCATTTATATTTTCAATATTTATTTTCAAAAGATTTGGGTGTAAAAAGTTAATATCAATGAATCAATAAGCAATCGAATACATAACATATGCATTGTCACTTTCATTTATTTTGATACCATAACAAAACCTATACATATAAGCTCATCAGCAATCCCCGGGAATTTCTTTCGGTGCTTTTTTGAATTCCCGGGATATACTTTGGTTCTATTTGATAAATATTAATTTCATACACTGTTAAATATTAAAAACTGTTGAGTTTTAAAAAACAAATATTGTTGAGGATTTTGAATTGAGATAAAGTAATTATCGTTTGTAATTATTAGGGCTGTCGATGGTTAACCGGTTAATGGTTAACCGTCGATAGTAGCTTACTCGAGTAAGAAATTTTCACTCAAATAAGTTGACCGTAAATACTTAATCCTATTTGTATTATTAATTTCCCTTAATCTGTTTGTTTTTCTCAAATGCCAGGGTTACATGTCAAGCTGAAGCAATGTGACTGGCTCGATAGTTTTGGCGCTTAAAATAAATCCCTAATAATTTACCAATCAGCAGTCAAAATTGGATCCAGTTAGGCTTCATACGTCACATGATTCTTTCAAAAGCGCAATCAGAAACATTTTAATCCTTTATGTATTCCTGTGCTCATCCGTTTCCAAGTGTCAGCCGCTCACATGTCAAATAATTACTTCCTGATCAGAAACATTGTAATGTTACTTCCCTCGAAAGTATATGTGTTGGTTTTAATTTAAATTTAATAAAACAAACCCAATTGGGAGATACGATCATGAAATTATATTCATGGTCGTATTGTTTTTGTCAGTACTAGCTTATATGTCAAAGGTCATAGCCTCGCTTTGATATTGTGAAAATCAAATTGCAAAGAAACCAAAATCGAGTGCTATTCTTTCTATTATTACGCGTTTATCGTAGTGAAACTAAAGGATAACCAATGTGGTATGTAACTCAAGGGTAGTGTAACTGTGGAACCAATATGGTAGAGCTTGACTACTTTGAGAAATAAACACGGATTAATCATTTTTCAAATTATTTCCGATAGAATTAATACCGAGGATAATGTATTTTTCAAATCCTTCTTTGAAATCATTGAGTAATTCTTTTTGTCAGTTAACCGACTTTAACCGTCAAATCTTCAGTTAATCGACCAATAATTTTTGCTGTAAATTGACACCACTAGTAATTATTATATTAGGGTTCCCTAACATTTAATTCTCATAATCTACTAAGTATAGGATAAATCAGTAATTGAATGCTCCATTTTTGATACAGGGTACTGTGTATCCCTCGGTAAATACAATATATCAACCCTCGGTCCCTATGGTCTCTGGAGTTGATATATTGTATTTCACTCAATTATACCCTGTATCAAAAACCTTCCATTAAATAACCTCTATATATCCAGTTCATGACATAGGTTTATTTTTCTAATACTGAGCCCTGCGGAGTCTGAATTGAGTACCTATCACCCTGAAAACCTTAATTAAAATTCCAAATGACATATTCAACCTCGAAGGATTGGACCATGGGCTTCAATCATATATAGTCGCTCACATTTTTTCTTCATGTGACCTGGCTTTCATCTTAATTTAATTCAGAAGATTTATATTTTTGGATCATAGGATATTTATATGCATAATGTCTCCCAAAATTATACATTTTGCTGTGAAAGCTTAATGTTTATTTGGGCCAATCGAATCCATTATGCAATTGTTTGGGTATCGCGTCGTATGTCTGAGGAGGATTGGAAACCATTATTCAAACTCAATAATCCGATATTCTGTTGCCCCATTGCCTGGCGTGGAACAATTTAGTAAAAAAATATGTATCAGATAACATTGTTGTTATCAATGATAACTTGGGTGCAATAGAAGCCTCTATTTCAATAATAAAATTCTTCTTGATGTTCTACATGGGGTCAATCAACTTAATGCCAGGTGGACATCTTTGAAAGAACAAACACCCCTGGGGTCACTTAACATTTTTTGAAAAATGCAATGTCGTTAATATCCTTGATATGTAGGATCAAATTGTAGATAAATATGTATTTTTCAAGAAATAACAATAAAAAGCATTCAATATCCTGATATACATGTAAGTATATTTTGGTTGATTTGGGAGATATATGTACATCACTTCCTGTGAAAATGTGAATTTCTTATCAGTCTCAGAAAATGTCTTCAGAATATATAACCCCAACTTGGCAGATGTCCCATTGTTTGATTGTGTCACTCTATACACTCATTGGATTAACATTTTGTACATATAAATAGTCATATTTCAATAGTCATTAAGTAGGGATTAGTTATGTTTGCAATTGGGTTGACCTACTTCTTTTTAGATAGAGGAAGGTCATGATAAACTCTTGCTTTGTTCATATAACGCTTGGTTCTTACCTAGAAAGTTATATGTATTGAGGGAATAGTGTACTTCTAAGGTACTTCTTGAGATATGTAAAAATCTAGGTAAGGACCAAGCGTTGTGCAAAAATGGAACTTTTCTGCAATTTTCAGCATGAAATAAAATGATGTCAGCCATTTTGAAAATCCTTAAAATGATTGTGACAGTTGTGTTTTATATATTTGAGTATATTTTCTTTATTCATATGATCTTTTCATGATCTAATATGTAGCTTGCACTGGAGCATGACCTCTTGAGAAGCTTATATCTTTACCATGGCTCTAAGCACTGTGGCTAGTCGATCTATGTGGATGCAGTCATTTATATGTAGTGTTTCGTGGGTACTCGCGTACATTATAGGGAATGGGATCATTGCAAAAATATGACAGCAAATCGAGGTAAGTGATCTCAGAGTTTCTACTTAACATTGTGACTTTAAATCTTGCACACATATTTAATATACATAGTATGACAATGTGTGAAAGTTTCAACTACCATATTCCTGTTATAGGGAAGATATTTGAAAAACATTTCGTAAACGTCAACATATATGTATAAAATGGATGCACCAATGTATCATTTGGATTCAGAACGGTAACAAATGGATGCTTTAATAAATTATACTTTTATCATGATGATTTATTTACTGATGGACAACTGGCCAGATTTTCTTTGTATCCATTGTTTGGATAAACGTTCCTCATTCAGTAAAGTAATTAGCCACCCCATTACAAGTAGTGTAAAGGCACCCTCATGAAAAATTGAAAATACTATATATAAACCCATCAACTGGAAAATGCCATTACAGATGAAATATAGGACCCACGGTCCTGTGCTCACACAGTGTAGAACCTACAGAGGAATGAATATCCTGATTTACAAACAAAAGTATTGGTAAATATGAGATCAATTAAAGATGAGTCCTTTGTTGTTGGTTCAGATATGATTTGTTGTAGTCAAAAGAAAAACTATGAATTTGACCTAGATTTTGACCTAGGCCTTTTAGTGTTCAAATTTTGAGGGAAAGTAGATTTTGAGGACGGCTTCTATTGTAGATTCTTATTAAGTTGGCTGCATCCAAGCTGTATCTAGTGTTGTGTTGTTACAATTGATAATTTTCTCAAGCCCCATTGACTTAACATGGGATACCAAAATAGCGATTTTTGAGATTTCAAAATGCCATAACTTCCGAACCGGAAGTCGGATCAAAATCTGGTTTGCAGATTCGGATTCCTTGGACAATTTTACACATATTTCATAATAAACTTATACATTGAATTCCAAGAACTTTTTATTGTGACCTACTTTTCGGATGCCATATCTCAAAAACGGTAAGAGTGATCAAAAACAACTTGCCTGTAGGGATTAGCTTTTTTCCAAGGAACATGATTAAAAAAACGGAGCAAAAATATTCAAGGACGACTGAGAAAATTGAAAAAAATGACAAAGTACTGGATTTGACCTAGTTCTTGACCTTTGACCTGGTTTAAACCTGATTACACCCAGATCTGGACTTGGACCTGAACTGGACCTTGACTTGGACCTGGACCTGGACTTAGACCTGGAAATGGACTGGACTGGTATTTTTTCAAATCTTTTCTTCACTTCTCTTGACTTTCTATAAGGCTATCATCAGATCGATTTTTCTCGAAATTTAAAAATCAGCAATTTCTCGGAAACCGGGCGAACTTGGGAAATGGCAATGACAGGTCAAATAGACATTATGGATATGCATAAAATGAATGTGGAAATGACTCAATCCGAATAGCAGTTTTAATTTGTGCAGCCAATGTTGACAGACGGACGGACCAACGGACGGACGCCTGGTCGATCCCATAGTCTCACTGCAGAGATCACGGTAGACGTTCGCCATTCGCCAATTTTCGAAAGAGGTGGCGAAAAATATGTAAAGGTATTTCGCAGTTATGGCGAATTAGAGGTGTCACGGTTTCCCGATATTGGACCGAATTTCGGTCCAGATGCTTCGGTTCGGGACATGGGACAGAAAGGGTTAATATTGGTACATAGATTCCTTCACTAAAATGCATAAAAACGTGTATAAATAGCGAGGAACACATCCGATTTCGTTCTGAAATATTTTCACTTACCTCGTACCTAGATTACACTTCTTTGCATTGAAAAGTGTTATTAACGGACCCGCGATTTCAGGTAGATGGTAATGCTTGTTCGTAAATTTCTTCATCGTCGTTCGCAAATCTAGTGCATTATCAGTATGCCGGATGTAGGAAAGAAATTGAAAAATCGAGCCGGCATCTAAGTCGAAAAAGTCGGCAGTTTGGAAGTATTTTGGGACTCCGATATCACAAGGTAAACGAATTGGTAATATTACACCGTGCAGACTATGTGAAATGCAGATCACATTCGCGGCAGATGCTTTACATTCAATTTTAATGGACGTTTTTTTATTCCTGAATATGATTTTGAAAAGTGAAACTGAAAGTGAAACTGTCATCATCAGACA